CTACGCAATAATAGTCCTGCCAGCACCCTCCTCCAGGTAGGCTACTGCTCGCTAATCTCCCATGGGTGTGAAGCACAGAGACCACGTCAAAGATAAGCAGGTTGCTTACCAGTAACTGGTGATCTTCAAGTGGTCATCTGTGCATTCACACCACCTGCCCTCCTTCCCCGCTGCTGTCAGCTTCTACATTTTTGAATAGGGGTTGATTTGCAGCGGTTTGAAGGAACTGGCGGGATGTCCGCGCCCACCCACTGGGCATGCGTAGTGGCAGTTACTGGTAAGCAACCTGCTTTTTTAACCAATGTGCAAATATTAGTCGGTACAGCTGGTAGTTAAGGACACATTTGTTTATCTTTTGAGAGTGTATAATTCCTGTGATTTATCAAATTAGGTATTGAATAAGAAAATTGTCAAAGGTGGTCTTTTCCTTTGAACAGTAAGCATCAGCTTTTTAAAAAAATGAACTGCAAGCTATCTCAAACATCTTTAAAATACCTATATTGAATTTTCAGAAATTTGCATATGTATCTAAATGGACATTTATTTAAATTTGATTAATCAATTAAACTGCAGATGATCAGTACACTTTTTAAATTGGTTGATAGCTGAGTATGTGTTAACTTTAGCTTTATTATTTCCTGTAGCATCTGCAGTTGTAGTAGAAAAATTAGTTTGAACACAGGAATTCGAGCCACATCTTTCTCTAACATGTCATTAAATGTGAGTCATCATTTCTGTGGAACAGACACCTGCTGAGCTTTCATGAGTGATTCCTGCTTTAAAAAACTTGGCAAAGGAGCTTATATATTTCTCTGTTTTGTGCCTCGTTTCACTCAATTGCAAATGCTTGGGGATGTGGCTGTTTTAATATATTTTAATCTTCCTTTGCAGGTTACCAAACAGGAACAGAAAAAAATGGATACATCTGATGGAGGTATAGCTGAAACATCTTCACGCTACAGTGGTGCCCAGGACAGTGGCATTGGCAGTGACAGTGTTAAAATCCGAATAGTTCAAATAGAACAACACAGTGGCACCAGCCACCACCGCATTGCCCGCCCTTCCCGGCAGTCTTCTATTGTGAAGAACCTGAACTTTATTCCATTTGACATTTTTATTACAGCCAGCCGAATTTCCTTTATGACTTATTCATGTACCGCACTAGCTAAATCAAAAGTACTGGAGGATCAGCAGGATGGTGAAAAAACAAGCAAAAGTTCATTAAAGTTTCCAGAAACAGATATGGGCATGGATCAGGATTGCAAGAAGCCCATTGGAGCAGGCCTTTCCTCAGTAACAGCAGATGATCTCCTGAATAGTAATAGCTCATTAACCTCTGCTAAAAAGGCAGGTGTTCTGTCATTGGAAAGCCTTCATGCTTCTACAAGATCATCTGCGAGGCAAGCCCTGGGTATAACTATCGTTCGGCAGCCTGGTCGTAGGGGAACTGGTGACCTGCAGTTAGAGCCATTTTTGCACCTTGTTGTATCCCAGCCTTCTTTGATCTTAAGCTGTCACCACAGAAAACAGAAAGTGGAAGTATCTATATTTGATGCTGTCCTCAAAGGCGTAGCATCAGACTACAAGTGTACAGGTAAGGCTGTTTAACATCCTTGAAATGGTATACTGATGGGCAGAGCAATCATTCTGCTATTCAAAGGTGACCAAAAATAGACGATTATTTATCCAAACCAAATTATTTACCCTTACCTTCTCATTAGCATGGGAATCTTTCATTCATGTGTATAGAGTCTCTTTACCACTAAATTTCAGAAAGAAAATCAAACACACCACTATCTCAGTACAATGAACATGTAGAATTTTCCTTTTGTTGACTCCTCTCCCCGCCCCCAACATTTGCACTTAAGACCTTTTTAAATTTGAGTGTTCTCATTTGTACGGTCGGGGGGGGGGGAGATTTGATGCTTGTTATGTTACCTTTGGTTTTAGCTGGGGATGTTTTAATCTATTATTGCGAGCTGTCTTAAACCAAGAGGAAAGGTGGGATAGAAATGTTTTAATAAATAAATAAATAAAATGCTTTACCACTGCTGTTATTTCAAAGGCATCTGTGTATTAAGGGGTATTGTTGCTCAAAGGCTCTCAGAACAATTGCATTAAAAATGCAGATGATAGCTTTTGGGTGGCCTACTCAAATCAAATATAAATTGGTCAGTTTTTTTCTTGGTGGCATCCTGAGAAGAAGCATTCTCTTGCTGTGCCCTGTTAGCTTTTTCAAAGATTAGTATGGATATTTTTTTATTTTAATTTTTTTTTTTAATTTTAAATAGTCCATTTCCATGCTGGTGCCCTTTTTTTGTCTAAACATAAGAAGAGCCCTGCTGCATCAGAGCAGTGGTCTGTCTAGTCTAACATCCTCTTTCACACCAAAAAAGAGGAGCTCTGGAGGACCAACCAACATGGCATAGAGGCTAATGTCTTCCCCAGTATTGCCTCCCAGTCCCAACACTGAATTTCAGAGGTTTACTCCCTCCGAATATGGAAGTTCCCTTTACTCACCATTACTTGAAGGCATTGATGGGGGGCTGTTCTCCATTAATCTGACCTTTTAAAGCCAGACACTTTTCTCTCTCCTTCAGTCCATTTGCTCTTCCCTACCTATGTTCTTTTCAGTTGTTAATTTTTTGCTCTCCTCCCGAAAAGCCTTTGATTTTTTCTTGTCTCTCTCTTCTGGAATTCTGTCACCTGGCCCTCCTTCATATAGTCTCCACCTTACCATTTTTCTCCATCAACAAATGATGCTTGTTTGTCAACTTTAAAGAGGAAAATTCACTTACCAAACTTCCACTGCACCCTCCTTCCCAGGGTAGAGTAACTACAACTGAATGGGGACATCCCCCCAAATGTCCCATTGTTTATTCTTTTAGTCATGCTGCCTATTAGTAATGTATTAGATGGTGCTAGATTGAAAAAGGTATGTTCCTATTTGTGAATCAAACATACCAGAATTCCAAAAGAAGTTCTTAGCATAGTTGATTGCCACTGAGAACATAAGGTTGTCAGCTTCCTATGAAGCATGATGGTTTTGTTTAGGCTTGAGGTGTCGAACTCATTTGTTACAAGGGCCGGATCTGACATAAATATCACTTTGTCAGACTGGGCCATGTGTGCCATAAAATGTAACACAAGGTGCCGGAGATATAAACTTTATAAAGATGATTTCAGATGCCAAATGGCAATAGCAGGCGTGATTGGATTAGGTGTAATATGCAGATGGGTGGAGATATCAGTATTGGTGTGATATACAGAGGTGTGGAGGTATCAGCATTGGTAATGAGATGGGAAACCTAGGTCTCAATTTGGTCCCGGAGAATTCAGTCCAGGAGAATTTAAATAATAAATGGAGATAAGTCTGAAGAGTGAGCAGTGACTCATAAAAGCACAGACCTTACCACAATTTTGTTAGTCTTTAAAGGTGCTACTGGACTCTTTCTACTACTATTAGAAACCACAACAGTCAAAAACCAATGGAGGAACATTTCAACCTTCCAGGGCATTCAGTTGCTGACCTAAGAGTAGCAGTTCTCTTACAAAGGAACTTCAAAGGGAGATTAGAAAGAGAGACTGCTGAATTGCAACTGATAATGAAGCTCAAAACAATGTAAACTCCTGGGCTGAATTGAGACCTAGGTCTCTTCACTCATTACCAATGCCTGCTATTGTCATTTGGCGTCTGAAATCACTTCACCAAAATATAAGGACAGATGGACTCACATTCCAGCTGTATCTGAAGAAGAAAGCAGTGATTCCTGAAAGGTCATGCTCTGCCACAAATTTTGTTAGTCATTATGGTGCTGCTGTACTCTTGCTTCCTTTCACTAATAAGGAATGCAAGCTGTGCTGTTAGTTTCCCCCCCCCCATTTCTGTTAGAAATGGAAAGGGGGATCTCTCTAGTGCCATGGGACTCCGTCTCCCCCCCCTCTCTTTAGCATGCTCTCTCTGGGTCTTTCCCTCCTTCTCTCTCCCCCTCCCTCCCTCCCGCTCTCTCTCTGAAGAAATGTGCCTGCCCACAAAAGCTTATACCTGGAATAAAGCATTCTTTTGGTCTTAAACACATGACTCTCTGTCTCATACCTCGAATAAAACATTTTTGGTCTTAAGCACATATCTCTCTCTCTCTCTCTCTCTCTCTCTCTCTCTCTCTCTCTGTGTGTGTGTGTGTCTGAAGAAGAAAAAGTGTGCTTGCGCACAAAAGCTTATAGCTGGAATAACACGTTGCTGGTCTTCTTAAAAGTCCCACGAGACACCATGTTTCCCCCTCTCTCTGGCTCTTTCCC